GTTGAAAAGAGTGGACTGTGAAAAGGTTGAGAAAGGCACATGAGTCAGCCTGCCATTAAGGGATTGAAGTTCCTGATTAAGAACCCATATTGAGGCCAGGCAGTATTGAAAATGAGACATTTCTTCTTGACAGTTTGAGAATCAAATCTAGACCAGTTCTTAAGAATATAGCCCAGGAGTGAGTCAGAGGGGATAGGAGATGTGACACCCATTGTGAGTCTTGTGGAGATGTTACATCAACCTACAAGGCATTCCTTAAGCTGATAGACCTCCTGTCCCACGGAGACACTTGAGATGTGTGCCTCTTTTGGGGCATCCCCCAAACAGAGGGAATCTCTGACTGGTGAAAGTGAAGAGCACTTTCACTCTGGGGCCAACCATGGCACTGGGGCCACTGTCTGATTAATCAGGTTGGACCAGATGAGGGAGCAAGACAACTAACAAGAGACAGACATGAGCCAAACACTGAATGGTCACAGGAAAGGGGGAGCTCAAGACATGGAAAACCTTCCTACTCAAGAGTCTTCTGGCTCAGGATATTTGGCTGAGAGAGAGGGAGATTGGAAGCCCACAGCCATAAAGAAGGGATTAGCAGAGGGAGGCAGTGAAGCAGTTAAGGGGGAGTCCTCACAGTATGTATAGACTTGCTCTGGACAAGTTGCTACTGCCAACTGTGCTGTGCATTGAGAATGAGGAGGGTCCCAAAAGAAGAGAGGGTGCTGCCTCTCACAGCCTACAACCCCAGTCTAACCCGAGAAAGCATCATGGAGGAACCATCTGGGAACTCTGCAGAGTCCCTGCCCAGGATGCCTCTGAACTACAAGATCATCAAAAGCAAGGAAAGTCTAAGACATGGTCAAGCCAAGAAGAGCTTGAGGAGACAACAGATCACATGGGATCCTACACACAGCCCACGTAGAAGCCTCAGGCAGAAAACTAAGAAGAATAAAACAAGTCCAGACTTCAGTAACAGTGTCTTACATTGGTTCATTACCTGCAACACTGTGCCGTGGTGACACCAGATGTTAGGAATAGGGGAGGTATGAATGGGGTGTAAGGGAACTGCACAACCATCTCAAGTTTTTTTGTAAATCCAAAACCTTTACAGATATTCCTCATTTAATGACATACCTGTTTAACAACTGTTTGGGCTCATGATCCATTGTTCTGACTTATGACCTGTCCTTTTTTTTTTTTTTGGTTCTGGGGATCGAACTTGGGACCTTGTGCTTGTGAGGCAGGTGGCATAACCACTGAGCTAAATCCCTGGCCTGACCTGTTCTTTTTTACTGTGCATGTTGTTTATAGAGTCTCAGTGTCTTTTTTTGTACAGTATACTTTGTTTATACAGTACTATAATTTTTGCTGATTGTACTGTATAGTACTGTAGTTTTTATGTTCTGTTATGTATTACTGTACTGCATGTAAGAGTTATGTAAAAGCAAAGTCATCAAGTTGAAAGAAAAAATGGAAAGTGGCCCCTTACCCTTATGGACTATAGCAGGCTGTCCCACTGGAGGGTGGCCCTGGCCAGGGTCTGTCAGTTGTAAATGGGAAGTAAGGCTTGTATCGATGGGTCCCGGTGGTTGGATCACATCCCAGAGGCCTTTAGGTCCCTACAACTGTTTTCTCTTTTGTCAGTGAATCATCTGCTGACCCCATTTCAAAAGGGTATCACTAGATGTTTGGTAAATGCTTCTCCAGGCATTATTTTTGGAGGAAAGCAGTGGAGTAGGGTTAGGTGAGTGCCTCTTCCTTTGGCGTAAAAAGCATAATTTAACAGTTAACTCTATGTAGGGCATAGGAACTTTATCTATGGGGCTGTCACTGTCTCCCAAAACCTCACTACATTAAGGTCAGGAAGACAGTTGGGACTAAAAGCTTTCTCAGGGCCAGTCTTCTCAGGGGCTTCAAAAAACTGAGAAAAGAAGGAGCAGTGGGAGAAAGTCGGAGTTGAGAGGCTATACAGACATTACTTGTTTAATGACCTAGTTATGTCCTGTGACTAGGTCATTAAATGAATTGCTTGCTAAGTGAGGAATTGTATACAGTATGTACACTACAACATTCAGAACAAAGAAATAGTCAATTCAGAACAAAGACCTAGAATTGTAGCGATAGGAAACTCAAGTCCTTCAAGTTGAACCCTAGGAATGCTGGTCAATAGGCCACTTGTATGTCCATTTTTGGTTTCTGGATCCATGTGTTTTGCTTGTAGGAACATAGCATCATGGAGTAGTCATTGCTGTAGATCGTATACACCACACTGGTGGACAGTATCCCATCTTTATGTGGTACTATCTTTCAGTTGATGTGTCAGATGTGCCTGTGGCCAACGCATCCATTGTGCTTTCTGGTTGGCAGCTTTTGGGTATATAGTATATGAAAGAACCATGAACCCCATGGTCGTGTGCACCCTGCTGCATTTCTTTGGCTATAAAGGCTTGTCCCTTGGTCTGATGAGATGTTCTGGAGAATCCTGTGTCAGTTGGTTAATATGCCATTGAGCCTCAGTGACGATAGTTGAGGCCCTAAGGGCAGGAAACACTCCTGTTGATTTTTGTCAACAGGAATGGCTTCCCTTTTCAATATCTAAAGGTCCGTTGTAATCATCTTGCCACCAAGTGACTGGCTGATCTCCTTGAGGGAGGTCCTATGTTGAGGTTTCAGCATCAGTCTCTGTTACTGGCATACTAGACTTTGAGCAGTGGTAGTAGCTAGATCAGCCTTGGTGAATAGGAGCCAGTCTTCTGTGTGTTAAGATGTCTTTATCCCTCCCTCTCCCCCTCCCCCTTCCCTCCCCCTTCTCTTCTTTTCCCCTTCTCCCCCGCTTTTTTTTCTGGCGCTGGGAATTAAATTGAGAGCCTTGTTCACATTAGGCAAGTGCTCTACCACTGAGCAATGCCGTCAATCCCTGCATTTTTCTTAAGAGTAAAGTTGAATATCTCATATGGTTAAGAGCCATTACATTTCCATCTCTGAACTTGTAGTTCCTGTTTCTGTAAGTTTTAGTCTTTTTTGTATTTTTAGCAGTTCTTTTATTTATGGGATATTATCTCAGTGATATAAATTACAAATATTGTTTCCCTGTATTTAATATTTTTATTTGGTCATGGTGTTGTTTCATACAAATTTTGTTTTAATGTAACTAGCTTTTATAAGTCTTAAAAACTGGTAGGTTTAGCTGTTTTCCTGCTTATTTTTTGTATGGTTGGTCAAGGTCTAGAAAGTAACCTGAAGGACTTTAGTGCTGTTGAAGTTTTCAAATTTATATAGGAAAAATTTGTATCTTTATAATACTCAGTTTTCCTATCCAAGAATATAGTATTTATTTCTCTTCAGGAGTTAAAACACTTATAGACTGGAACATTTATTTCACTTGCTGCAACTTTCACATAATATTGTGGATAATTTTTTCAGGTTTCATACTCTCAGTGTTGAGTCTCATCCTTTTTAGGATGAAATTCACTGCTATGTTTCTGTCATCATTTCTGTGGTAGGGGACAACTCTCCTGGGACACATTAGAAGTTCTCAAGGTTAGCTCCATACCTGCTAGAGAATGCTAAGTTTGTGTGGACTGCTGTCATTCTAGATAGAAAATCAGAAGCCTTGTTGAGTATCAGTACCTTTCCCCTGGTGGTTTGGGGAATATTGTCAGCCTGCAGCCTACCTAACCAGAGCTCTGGATTCCTGCTGTTGCCTTTGAATACTGTGCTCACCAGATCTAGGTTGACCTTAAAAGGTCAAGATGTTTTATTAAAAAGAGAAGAATATACAAAGGAAAGGCCTGCCCTTGATACCCAGGCAGGCTGTGGGAATAAATGTATGAAGCAAGGATACTTAAAGAGGACAAAAAACAAAGAGCTGCCTCTGTCAGAATCTCAGAAAGATAAGGTTATTTAAAAAATTTAGACGTGGAAACTTCCAAGTCAGGAGCGTATGAAGGTCTTGGGAAGGTGGCTTTGAAGAAGCTACATGTTCCTGCCCCATCCTTGCCCTGTGAAGCTCTTCTATTTGGCTATCCCTGAGTTGTCTTTCTATATATATATTTTTTTTCAGCTTGAATCCATGTCTTCATACTGAGCTGCATTCCCAACCCTTTTTAAGCATTTTTTATTTTGAGACTGGGTCTTGCTAAGTCCCTAAGTTGCCCACACTGCCCTTCTGCCTCAGCCTACAAGTGTGCCAGGCTTCCAGGCATGTTCCACCAGAGTTGTCTCTCTTATAATACACTGATCATGTTTTCTGAAGATAGCCTCCATGTTAGTGAAAATGCTGCCTGATGATGCTGGTCTAGTCATCCCCAGGCTTTGAATCTTTCTGAGATCACACATATCAGGAAGTAAAGACAAGCCATCATTACTGTCCCTGGTTTAAATTCAGGACCTTGTGCTTGCCAGGCAGGCACTGTGCTGCTGAGCTACATCCCTGGCCCCCCTAGTTTAAATTCTTGACACACACAATAAATGAGCATAATAAAATGGTTACTTTATGACTTCTTAAAAATAAATTTCAGCTAGATCTTGAAATAGTCACTTTGAGAAGTTTTGTGGGTTTTGTTTCCTTTGAGAGCAGTGTACCTCTTTCCTCTGTACATTGTGAGTGGCACATACCTCCTCCAAGGTTCCCTGATTTTTGGTAAAGTGATTGTAACATTAGTGTTGAGCTTTCCTGTGACTTTTGGCTTTTGCTTAGTACCTGACATAGAAGCTATAAAGTATTTAGAAAGTCCAATTTTTGTATCCATGCACTTTGACTTCTAACCACGAAGCTGATCTATGCTAGTACCAAGTCCTTTTATGAAAGGTTTTACTTCTATCCATCCTGTTTCTTATTTTTGTCTCCCCTGCCTCCCCCCATGGGTGGTTACTTTACAAAGAGAAAGGGGCAATGTTGCAGAAACGAGAGTTAGAGGATAAGTTCGATGAAGTCTGGAAAGAAAGAACAGGACTTTCCATTTCCTCTTGGAGCTGATTCTTTGCTTGCTCTTTGTATATAGAAGGAGTTGTCTATGCCTGGGGCCACAATGGATACAGCCAGCTGGGAAATGGAACGACCAACCAAGGCATTGCCCCGATCCAAGTCTGTACCAATCTCTTGATCAAGCAGGTTGTTGAAGTAGCATGTGGCTCACATCATTCAATGGCCCTGGCAGCTGATGGAGAGGTAAGTGTGCTGCTTTACTTTTTTTTTTAAATTGTGATAAAATGCACACAAAATTTACTGTCTTAACCTTTTATATTTATGTATTTTTTGCAGTGCTGGGGATCAACCTAGGGCTTGTTACATGTTAGACAAGCACTCTGCCTCTGAGCTATCCTCCCAGCTCCTATCTTAACCATTTTTAATCTTACAGTTCAAGGACATTAAATACTTTCACACTGTTATGCAATTACTGCCACCACCCATGCACAGAGTCTTTTTATTTTTGCAAAACTGAAACTGTATCTATCAAACATTAATTTCCCATTTTCTTCTCCCCAAGCTCCTGGCAAGCAATCTTTTGTTTTGTTTTGTTTTGTTTTTCTGTTAGTACATGTTTGCCATATATAATGATCACATTCATCATGGGGAATTTGTACCTGTACAAAATATATCTCAGTTCTTTTTTTCCCCACATTCCTCTGCACTCCTTTCAATCCTTTACTCCCTTCCCAGTTACAAAAGCTTTGTTTCTAATTTTTCCTTCCATTCTCTTCTGACCATTCTAATACTTTGTTTCTGTAACTTTGACTACTCTAGCTACTTTATTTGTTACCCTACAGTATTTGTTATTCTGTGACTAGCTTATTTTGCTTAGTGTCTTCAAAGTTCATCTATTTTTATAGTGACAGGATTCCCTTCCTTTTTAAGGCTGAATAATACTCTGTTGTACCATGTTTTGTTTACCATTCATCTGTTGAGGACACTTGAATAGCTTCCACTTTTCTATTTTGAGAGTTCCCTGCTTTAAAAAAATAATGAACATGTTTATACTTGGCATAGCTTGTAGCTGAAAGAATTGTGGGAACACACTCCTTCTCCATTGTAACCTGTATCATGTAGTCAGAATTACCCTTTTGTTGATAGTAGAATTCAGTTTTAAGGCAGGGAGTCTCATATTCTTACAATCCTCCTGTCTCAGCCTCCCAGTGTGCTGGGATTACAGAGTACTCCACCACACTCACCTGAATTTCTGCTTCTTGAGTCTCATATTCTTTGTGAAGACTACAAATCAGATGTATATAACAGTGTTCTGTACTTAATTTTTCTGATGACCTTATTCCTTAAAATAAATTTTTAAAATATATGTAAAGATTTTGGAGAAAATAGCTTTTCCACCATTCCAGAATGTATTGTACCACTTGTTCAACCCCAAGTTCTTTGCTTCTCTTAAAGGTTCCTCATTCTTTTAATTCTGCTTCTCTCTTTTGTATTATTTTGTGCCTCTCCATCTCAATTACCTTTTTGCTCTGGTCTTGCTATTTCCTGCTTGACTATTGCCATGGTCTCTTCTGTTTCATAACTTTTTAAATGACTTACCTGTCCGTAATTTCTCTGTTCCCTTATGATTTTTGAAGCACAAGTTAATAAGTTACATTGTTCCCCTGTGTTAGAGTTCTTCAGTAGGACAAGTGATACCTGAAAAGGCCAAAGAGCTCAGGAAGGTAAGACCTCGTGGCTGAGATGTGCTAGAACCAGACATAGCATACAAGCTTTGGGCTGAAAATCATTGTTTCCTAGTCCATTTCTTTTTTGTGGTACTGGGGCTTGAACTCAGGACCTTGCACTTGCAAGGCAGGCACAGTGCCACTGAGCTAAATCCCCGGCCCCCTAGTCCATTTCTTGATTAATTAAGATTATAGTCCCCATTTTAAAATAAAAGACAGTGGCGTTTTTAAGGGAACTTTGAATGTTTGAGAAGAATATTAGGAACGATTGCTGAAAGTAGACAGATCTTGCTCATTTATACAATAGGCTAGATTTACATAACCAGCTTGTAACCTTATCTTCAGCATATGCTACTTTAGATAATTGTGCTAAATATCTGTGTTACAAAACTAGATATTCCTGGGAATACACTTTGGGAAAGTATTACATGTTACTTCTTTTGTACTTGTGAAATGAACCTTTTGGGTAGGTTTCATAGTCATAGCATATACTCTTTTTTTTTTTTGGTACCAGGGATTGAATTTCGGACCTTGCGCTTGCAAGGCAGGTGGTGGAACCACTGAGCTAAATCCCTGGCCCCAAAGCACATACTCTTTTAAGACAACAGCAGAGGTTGTACTGCTATTGCCTTGGGCAGCATCACACATGTGCTGACAGAGAATGAATTACAGAAACCAAACTGAGGATATGTGAGGAGTGTTTCCTGAAAGCAAGTGGAAGAGGTGAGAGTAAGGTCTTAAACATTCTTTCAGTGCTGGAAGAAGTTATTTCCTCTACTACCAACACCCTGTTCCCTAATTCCTTCTCTCTAGTCACATTTGTTTAATAGGATCAGTTGGTAATTAACTTAGAGTGATTTTTAAAATTTTGTTTTCCATCTTTATTGCTAGATTGTTTTTCTTTTTAAAAAATGTTTTGTTGTTGGTTTTTAACTAACTTAGCTGATTCTGTTTCTCTTCATTAAAAATCTGGTTTTCAAATGATGGCAGATAACAGGTCAAAACTTGGCATGAGATGCAGCTGAGGAAGGAAGCTGTCTGAAGTTGACAAATAGAAAATGAGAACTTAGAGCCTTGCCAAGAAAGCCTAACATTCAGGTGTCATTTCTGTAGGGACAGACATCTCTAGCACTTGTGAGCATTACTACATTATAGCAAGGAATTATAACTGATACTTACCAGCATGATGGCCCTCTGTCATCACAGGAAGGCTGTGAAAGCCCAGAATTGTTGACTAGTAAGAAAGGGAAAAGCACAGTATAGTTTAAAAGGATTTCTATGAAAAACAGTGAATACTGTTGAGCAGATTTTTTTACATCATTGATACTTATGTGCATATGTGTGATTTCTTATGAATGCCAGAATAAAAATATGTATGGCTGCCATAATTAGAACATAGTGTTTAAGAATACAGTGAGATGCTTGGGCTTAAGTTTCACTTGTCCTGTTACTGGTTCTAGAACCCTAAGCAAGAAACTTACCCTTTCTGTTTTAGTTTCCATACATAAAATTGTGTTTCCATTCCCATATTATTCATCCCCATGGGTTGCTTTCCAGGATTATTGTGAGGGTGAAATAAGTGAAATGCTTATAAAGCTTTTAGAACTATTGAGCATATCTTAAGTACTTATTTTTCTTTTTTTGTTCTCTTTTAGGTATTTGCTTGGGGTTATAACAACTGTGGCCAGGTGGGATCAGGATCTACAGCAAATCAACCAACTCCTCGAAAGGTTACCAACTGCTTACATATTAAGAGGGTGGTTGGCATTGCCTGCGGTCAGACCTCGTCCATGGCTGTTCTGGACAATGGTGAGGTGAGAGCCTTCCCCACTTTGCTTCCACATCTGCTCCCCGTATACTGAAATATGTTTTTCATTATCAGAAGCAAGAGGGCTTTGTCTTGTTAGCTTCACTGATAGCTAATTGATCACTGACCAGCCAGAAGATGTTTGTTCTTTAGAGTGACTCCTTTAAATCCCTAGGTTTGTTTATAAATAGTCTAGCATGGCTAAATTTAATTTTTTTGGAAGGTGCATGCAATGGTTAGAGATATTTATACTTTACTGGATGAAACAATTTGATACCACCTTTGTCTTCTAGTGGAAAAGTTAACTGTACATTTATAGCCAGCTGACAAAGTTTTGTAGCACTGCATACATTCTGAATGTCTCTTCACAGAAAGCAACTTGCTATGCCAGAATTTTTTGCTTTATACTTTTAAAAACTCACCCTTCAGCGACCCTCTCCTGTGGTCACCTTTGAGGTGATAGTTACTTCTGTGAATTTATTTCTGGTTGTAACTTCTGCTTAAATGGTCCACTTATCACCTATGCTTTTCTTAGCCTGTGAAAATTATACACAGAGAATTTTGGGGCACTGAGCTTGTGAACTCAGGCATTGCATTACTGGAGTGCTTTATTTACTGAATGCTCATCTTCGTTGAATTTAATCCTGCTGTCATCCTGATGACCTCAGAATTCCTTAGGGATAGCCATCTAATATCCTTTATTCTAGTGCTCTTCACTCCTTTACTTTTTATAATGAATTTAAAATGTATGTGGTGATGCAGTGTATAATCCCAGCACTTGGGAGGCTGAGGTGTTGAGGCCAGCCTGAGCTACATAGTGAGTTCAAGGCTAGCCTGAACTATATAGGGAGATCCTGTCTCAAAAAAAAAAAAAAAGAGTTTAATTAAAAAATGTTATGGTTATTTTGATAAAACAAATGAGACATATAAAGTAAAAATTAAATACCTTTCCCCCAATCTTGTCAGTAGTATGATATGTATCCTTTTGGGCTTTTCTCTAAACAATTATATGTGGAGAAGTATTATTACTGTACTTCTTTAATGGGATGACTGTACATTACTGCCCTTCTCTTCTTTTCTGCAACTTTCCGTCCCCTTCCTCATTAACAACATATGACTTGCTGCACTGGATTATCAGAACATTTATACAGTGTTTCATCATAATAGCCTATATCCAAAGTTCTACTAATAGTCATTTCAGTTGTTTCTATTTTTTTCTGTTGCAAACAACGGAGCACTGATTTTCTTTGTTACTATGTGTCTTTGTATACTTGTGCAAGTTTTTCTATGGAATAAATCCCCAAAAGTAGAATTTTGGGGTGGAAAAGTACCCCTTTAAAAATATTGACAGCTCTTGCCAAATTTCTCTTCAGAAAATTGATTCCTCATATGTGTCTGGCATGGGATGAAAGCACTTTTAATTCTTCCTCAATAAGACCCTGAAGTCCATGCCTTCCTTTCCTCTGTCACACTGCCCTGAGAAGCCCCAGTGTGCATCTGTCTACAGTGCTGTGGGGCTTAGTGTCACTGCAAGTCTTAGGTTTCTAATTTGAGCTAGACCTCATTTTATCTTCTTGGCTAGTTTTTTTTCCTGTCTCCCACATTGGCTATTCTAAACCTTTAACCCTCCTGTGAAGCCTATGCCAGCTCTGTTATTTTTAGCAGATAGTCCTTCTCCAGACATCTGAGAGACCTCATTTGTGATGTCTCATTTCCTGTTCGTCTCCTGTTGATCCTGTCACTTATTTCAGACCCTCATCAGAGATCATCTATTTGCTGATGGAAAATAAAATTATCTACTGAGTGGTCTTTCTGGTTCTAGTCTTGTATGTTTCTGTCACCCTTTCTGTTGTGACCAACGTGAGCTTTCACAAATGCAAGTTTAATTAAATTTCTCTATTTTGAAATATTTCAGTGGAAAATCTTTGAATGCATTCAACTTTGCTGGAGTGTTTTCTGTCTCTTTCTCACTGCCCCCCCCCCCCCTTTCTTTTAGTCTTTTGTCCCACGACTACACCAGGTGTGTCTAGCCAGGCCCACCAAACTGTCTTTTATATCGCCCTGTGACACATCCTATGTCATCTGTCTGAAATTCCTTCATCCTCCAACCCTGCTCAGGTCTCCACTTTCTAGAAAGTGAGCAGGGTTGAAGGATCTTCCCTAAACTTTCTTCATAGAGGTATACTTTTTCTCCCTACCGTTCCTATAGTGACTTGATTATCTCTGTATTATAACTTTTTCTACCTGTCTGCAAAAATGTTTCATGTGTCCATCTCCTCTGTTAAACTGTGATCAAAGACTTATTTTAAGTACCTTTCACAGTGTCCTGACATACAGCAGATGTTTAATAATTGTTCGTGGCCTTCAGATTTAAACAAGGAACTTGCCCATAGCTATCTAACCAGAAACATGGTATGGGCACTGATGCCAAGTTCTTTCATCCCCTCCAAAGTACCTTCTATGTGGAGATCAATTAAAGGATTACATGGAGTAGGATACTGTGTTGGATTATCTGTTGTGTTCAGATGGACTGGATTTTCACTTCTTACTGCAGTTCACGGAGCTCCTCTCTTTTCCAGGTCTATGGCTGGGGCTACAATGGCAATGGCCAGCTGGGTTTGGGAAACAATGGCAACCAACTAACCCCTGTGAGAGTGGCAGCTTTGCACAGCGTGTGTGTGAATCAGGTACGTGTGGCAGCCTCTTGCCAGCTAACCCTTGTCCATTTTCCCTACACTGACTTGGACAAATATTGGCGGTTTACTGTTTGTGTTATTCTTTTCTGGCAATTTCTTGTGCTGTCACCTTTCACATATTATGTCTTCCCTGAATCCCATGAGGAGAAGGAAGCCTGTGGTACTGGCACATCAGTCTTGGTAAATTTAAACTGATGGAGAAATCCAGTAGTCTAAGGGTTAGCCTTTCCTAATGCTTTTTCATGTATCAGCAAATGTCAGTCCACATCTGGTGATGAATTGGCATTCTGCAGAGGCTGGCTGTAACCTTTAAGTAGATGTACCCCTGCCCTTCCTGTTTTCTTGGTAATGGTAACTATTTACATTTACTTGCAGATTGTCTGCGGCTATGCACATACTCTAGCACTAACAGATGAGGGCTTGCTCTATGCCTGGGGAGCTAACACATATGGGCAGCTGGGAACTGGCAATAAAAATAACCTGCTAAGCCCAGCACACATCATGGTGGAGAAAGAAAGGTAATTTGGCTGCGCCATGTCTTGGGACAAAGTGTGCATTGTGGCATTGGAACTGTGTGTGGCAGAGTTGTGTTGTTTGGCTTTGTGACTCTACTGTTGATTAACATCTCCATTCTTAACAAAATGGTTTTGAGTACAGCCAGAATGAGCATGAGGTTAATCAGTTCTCATGCAGCTTGGTGTTGCCCATTGCATAGGGCAGTCAAATAAGGTCTATGACCTTGTTGAAGTTTGAAGTATAGTACAAACTTTTCCTTAGACCCTACCAGTCCCACTTTTAAATAAATAAGAGTGCTTTTAAAAGGATACTGTTTAAATATTGGTTGACTTGCTGTGTACTACTGGAGTACTTGCTTAATGTCTGTTGAACCATATTGTGAGGTCTCACCCACTATCTTGAGTGTTGACTTCTGATTGTGGCACTGTGGCAAGAAGCATATTAAAAAATGCAGCAAGTTTGGCCTGGTGTTCCCTTCAGATTTAAATATTGAGTCCATGATTCTTGGACCAGTGCTTATCAGCCTCTTGAGTGATCTGAACTCTGGCAGAGTGAGTTACAAAGAAAGGGTATATTGAAGATACTCCTAGTATTTTTTCTCACTACTGCTTGGGCCCCCAGAATAGTCAGGACGTTTTGTCAGTGTCCACTTTCTCCATTTACTTTGATCTGCTTTTCTAAGTTTTCCTCACTGTTACTGTTGTTCACCCCTAACTCAGAATGCACCTAGGTAAAAGTGAGGGCATCAGGAAGGGAGAGACACAGTGCTTCTGCCCTCATCTTTGGTTTCCTCAGTGTGACTTAGCTGCTAATATCCCTGATCTTGGGCTTTTTGTTTGAGTTGTTCAAAGCATGAACTTTTTAATTACCATGTGTGGTATGCTCAAGGTTTCTGTAGTAAGAAAGTGACATGCACTTTGCTTAAAACTTTTCAGGGTGGTAGAGATTGCAGCCTGTCACTCCACCCACACATCTGCTGCCAAGACCCAGGGTGGGCACGTGTACATGTGGGGCCAGTGCCGGGGCCAGTCAGTGATCCTCCCTCACCTCACCCACTTCTCCTGCACCGACGACGTGTTTGCCTGCTTCGCCACTCCTGCTGTCTCATGGCGCCTTTTGTCTGTAGGTAAGAAGCCTTTGGGCTTCATGTACCCACAAAGAATGGTACCCTGACCAAATACTTCTCCAGTGTATTTGCCAGTTTGTGGGCACTTTTAGATACTAGAATGTTTTAGTGTCTACTAGCTATAATATTTTCCCTGGTAATAATCACATTTATTTATATGTCATGAAATATTCCATGGACTTTTTTCTCCCTAAGTGCTTTCATTTTAATTGAGATCAGATTTATATAAGATAAAATTAATTATTTTAAAGTGTATAGTGTAGTGGCATTTAGTATATTCATAATGTTATGCATTCATCATTTATATAAAGTTCCAAAATATTTTCATTACTCCAGAAGAAAACCCCATATAGTCTCAACACACACACACAAACAAACACACACCATTATGAAGTTAAGTAAGAGTATGTTTAGGAAGAGTTAAGTTGCTACTAAATTTAAAGTGAAACAAACTGAACATTTCCTTTAAATTCATTTTACCAGGTTTATCTATAATACTATGTGTATCAATAAATATGATTAGAAAAAATTTAGTTCACTGAGTGGGACCTTTTGGCCATAATTGGATATACAGTATGTATAGCATGCACAGCCACAGTACATCTGTTCAACACATCCTGAGATTTATATATCCTATTTAACCTGGACCCTTGTATAAAAGGGCACATCTTAAAATGGCACAGATGCTCTCTTTAGAACAATGTCCTGACATTTTTGATGTTAAGTTTGGAAAAAATGTGATCATTGACTATATTTCCTAGGTGGCTTCTTTCTCTTTCCAGCCACTGAAAGTCAGAAGTGTTTTTTCCTTTCAGTTATGATCTCAGTTGAGTGTTAGGAAGAAGGTCAAATGGTGAATTCACACCTCTGAGGAATATTTCTTCTCTGAAAGGAGGTATTATATTTGTTGCAAGAAACAAAGAGGGGGAAAGGTTCATTTCAACCCTGTGATTAGATGCAGAGGGGGAGGCACTGATGAGAACCTGTGCTTTGGATGGGTAGGGCACACATCTTGACCTCTGGACTCTGCCCATCATAGTCATTTCCTTTTTTTTGTCCTATAATGGTTCAGGGAAAGACTGATTTATGAGAAATTTTCTAGCATTTATCCATGGGCAGAACTTTGTGTTGTGGGGTTTAGGGAAGGTTGTAGGTTGAGGTCACAGGGCTTTGGCAAGTGGTATTTCCGTGCTCATTTGTTAAGTTCCAGCCTAGGTTTTGTTTAGACCATGTCCCTCCCCTAAGAGTTGCCTTGGTGACACCAAGTACCAAGCAACACATTTTTCTCTGCTTGAACAGCTGAGCTCTTTGGTTAAGTCACCATTTTCAATTCCTGGGTAGTTAAAACTCATCTCTCATGTCTGTAGCAGCTATGTTCAGTGCCCAATAAGGACCTCTGGAATTTATTTCCCTATTAGCCACCTTCTGCTTTTTACCTTCTTTCATACAAAGAACATGTAAAGGAAAGGTTGCATGATTTGTGCAGGTGTTAGAATCTACTTACTTTCTACTTACTTTGTCACTTGTTCTATAAAGCTGTCTATACTATGCATATGCATATACTAAGTAAATTTGTCCTCTTTCTAGATACTGTAGAAGGATTATTGCTTGTATATTGATTTTTAGGGTGAAGAGTGATGCTTAGCTTTCAGATGGTAGGGGAAAGTTGCCCTGCTTAGGAACTGACAACTTAGCATTATGACTTGGTTTGTTTCTTGGGCCTGCTTGATTTGAATGTGTTGGCTGGCCCCTTGAAACTAACCCAAGACAGAATAGAGGTGTTCTTAGTGTTTCAGTCAAGAAAAATTGACATGTTCTTAGTCTTAGAAGAGAACACTCAAGTTGACTGATTGCTCATGGATTACCTGTAATTATTTGTAAACACCCATTTTTCATGTCTAAGCATGCAAGACTGTATTTGGCTTTTATAAATACTTGTTTTATTGGTAGTTTTGTTGTTGTTGGTAGTTTAAAAATGAAAGATACTTATTTTGTGAAATTGATTTGTCAAATAAGGCATGAACTTTTGGAAATATACCTTAAATAGAATTATTCACCATGCTGTTGCTGGTCTTCTGGAAATCTTTCATATCTTTCTCTGTGTCCTGAGGATTCTGTACTAATATTATGTCTGCTACCTTCAGAGCATGAAGACTTTTTAACAGTTGCAGAGTCACTGAAGAAAGAATTTGATAGTCCAGAAACTGCTGATCTGAAGTTTCGAATTGATGGGAAATATGTTCATGTCCATAAAGCTGTTTTGAAAATCAGGTATTTTTGTATGAGCTCACTGTAGATCACTTGCCTTCCATGTACAAGGCCTGAGTTTGATCTCCAGCACTGGGTGGGGGGGTGCAAAATACAAAAGGTTCTCAGTGAATGTCAGCATGTGTCCTCTTTTACTATGAAAGATTGATTTTTCTCAGGCTGGGGATTTACCTCAGTGGTGCCGCCACCTGCCTCGTAAGCTCAAGGTCCCAAGTTTGATCCCTGGTACAAAAAAGAAAAAAAAAACAAGATTCATTTTTCTTAAGTAGAAAGCCCATAGTTGGGAATGCTAGGCTTTTAGCCATTGGGGTCCTCTAATTTTCAACTAAAGGAAAGTTCTTTAGATATAGTACATGGCAAGAGTTCCTTGTGTAAATGTGAGGGAATACCTGTTTGGACTGTTGCTCACTGAAGTTTCTGTTGTGAGAAACAGGAACATAAAAATCAGTCCATTAATCTGGATATTTTCAAATCTTAAAAATTTAGTTTAAGCCCATTTTGCAAATAATACTTTTTAAGGGAACCGAAAAGCCACCTGCTGTTTATTACCTAAGGTAGTAAGTATCTGAATTGCAGTAGTATTTGTTGAGAAGATGAACTGGAAATGTTTCTCTGTGGTCAACTGGTCTGTTTCATGTGTAGTTTTCTGACACATTATGTACAATATTCCTTAGACAACTCTTCTTAACCTCTCAGTTGGAATAATTATATAACTGGAGCCATTCTTTTAATATTTTGAATGGATTTAAAAAATATGTCTCTCTTTGTACTCATTTTGAATGAATTTGAAAAGATGATTTTAAAATACATTCTATTTTTAAAAGTATGTTATATTTTAAAGTATATTATATTTTAAGGAAATCTGATATTCAGGAACCTTTTCCTCACATAAGTGGATTTGTTTATGTAAATACAGTATGAAAAGGCCCACTTGGATTTTCTTGAAATAAAGATTATCATAGTGAATGTGTTTTATAAAGAAGTTTGTGACAGGCCTGGGAGGAGCAAAAAGGGAACAGGCCAGGTAAAGAAACAGGTGAAAGTGATGGCTGCTTCAGAGGTGAGTTAGAAAGGAAGGGAAATCATTTTGTCAGATAATGGAACGTATACAGCTTAGCACACTCTTATTTGACACTTAGACCAATTTTAAAAATAGATTGATTACATGAAACAAAAACAAATGAATAATTTCAGTGAATTAATATATAGTCAAAAATTTTAACGCTTCTGAATTTTTAAAATTTCATTGTTTTTGTTGTTGTTGCTGTTGTTTTTGTTTTGTGGTCCTAGGGGTTGAACCCAGGTTTCAGGGTCTTATGCATGCCAGGAAAATGTCCTATCACTGATCCATGTCCCCAGCCCTAATTTTGTTGTTTAAAATGCACCTCTGTGTACCCTTTTTTTTTTTTTTTAAAGCCACCTTAAACAGAATGGGGACTGTCAAATGGAAATGATAGTGCTGTTGAAGGGCTAGGTACATCTGGGTTGTATGTGCAATTCTTAATATTTATTAGCAGATAGCAGAAATGAAAGGGTATAAGCCTTTGCAGAAGGGATGTTTTGTACTAACAAGTCAGAATCCCTTTCTCTGTAGGCCCAAATACTGTAGTTAAGGATACTTCTACTATCTGTTTATATGATTTTGTCACCTTTGTTAGGTAACATTTGCTTTTCTCTTTTAGGTGTGAGCACTTTCGATCCATGTTCCAGTCTTACTGGAATGAGGACATGAAAGAGGTGATAGAAATAGACCAGTTTTCTTACCCTGTGTATCGTGCCTTTCTCCAGTACCTCTACACAGACACAGTGGATCTGCCGCCTGAAGATGCTATAGGTACGTTAGCTGTGTTGGGACTCGCCAGGCCATGTGGTTGGGAGTGTACCTCCTCCTCCAAAAAAAAAATGTTGTCATGTTCTTAGGGTGATGTAGTGAAATGTAAAAAATTTCAAATGTTTTGGCTTTTATATGGTTTTTAAAAGTATGTCTATAAAAATAGTACAGTATTGTGTAGTTATTGTGGTTAATAATTATGGACAAAGTTTATGACTGTAGATTTATTTTAATTTTTTGTTGTTCTTTTTTTTTTTTTTTGGTACTAGAAATTGAACTCAGGGACTTGTGCTTGCCAGTCAGACATTGTGCCACTGAGCTACATTCCCATTCTTATTTTAATTTTTTAATATTAAAGTATGTTACTAATGGATTTAGCATTTTGGAAACAAAATGTAGGAGGAAATTTTATTTTTTCCCCCTTCCTTTATACTGTAGAAGAAATTGACATAAAAGAATGTTTTTGGAGGTGAGAGATAGGGAACAAAAAAGTGTATTTATTCAAATTCAAGTATTATTTGCTGAGAAACTTCTGCTGACTTACCTATATAAGATGAAGTATGTATATTTATAAATTATGAGAAATTACTGTCAACCAGATTAAAACTTCCGTATTTTTGACTTTCAGGTCTTTTGGATTTGGCGACATCTTACTGTGAAAACAGACTGAAAAAACTTTGTCAGCACATTATCAAGCGTGGAATTACTGTGGAGAATGCATTTTCATTATTCTCTGCTGCAGTCAGATATGATGCAGAGGTAACTTAAAACAGCACCAGCAAATCCAAACCACCCAAACCTCACTCTGTGTTCTTCTTGTCTTTCTCTTGTGTAACACAGGAATTTGACAAACAACTCTTTTTAGGGACTCAGTGAATCATATTCCTTAAAACAAGAAATCTGACCTTTCTTCCATCCTCTGTTCGCTTTTTCAAAGTTGATTGTTCCTCTACTTCCATTTTTAACTAAGATAAGGACCTAATTGTCTGAGGGTGCAGCTTCCTGCAGGTTGGACCATAAAGTGCCACACCCAACTGGACTGACAGATGCTTGCTTGCTTTAGTTCCTGGTCTTTCTCATTGTCAGTGTGGCTGCCAAGACCTGCTTTGCTGTCTCCCAGCACTACCCTGTCAGAAGCACAGGAGGCTATGATTTATATCTGTGTGCACTCTGAAATTTTATCATTGTCTGATTATAACTCACAGTTACTCTTGTGTTAAGGGCTTCCTGTTGACTCCTTTTTGTTTCTTGCGCTGGATTGGGTTGTGAGATTCTCAGATCTGTAGAATCTGTGAATTAGTGGGATTTGGTGAGTCTGAGTTATGATGGTGTGTTTTCTTGAAGTTAATAAAATTATCAGATCGTGAGTTCTTTTTTGAGCAGGAACTGGACTTTATTCATCTTCAACCTGTAGTGTCTGGGATGTATTAGGCCCTTGATGGTAAATGTTTGTTCAACTCAGTGAAGACAGTACCACCTATAGGGTGGAGTAAGGATTATTTATGAGCTGATTACTGCTATGGTTGGTTTTACAAATTCATAGAGAATAAAAGGTAAGGATGGGCCGGGATTTAGCTCTGATGCCGCCGCCTGCCCCGCAAGCACAAGGTCCAGAGTTTGATCCCTGGTACCCCCAAAAAAGGAAGTTCAAGATATCTAGCTAAAGTGTACATATTAAATGACACAATTCATGCTATTGTAGGTATTTTGTCATTTGACAAAGTAGAATACCAGGTGTCAAGGAATTTATCAAAGCATTGCACTATGGCCTTTGAGGTATAACAGAGGACAAAGTTTCCCTGTCATACTTAAGGACTTAAGGATTAAGTTGAGCATTATGTTTTGTATTTTTGAAATGGCTCTATTTTTATTTGAAGTTATGTTACGATTATAAATATTTGATAAGATCAAATATAGCTGACTCTGCAACCTGACAACCGATGGATGATGATCTAATAGGAAATGGAGGTATAGTTTTTTTCTTACCCTTCCTTTGACACTTTAGAAATGCAGTGTTTGTAGATTTCATTTCCATCCAAGGATGCCATTTTAAATTGGGTCGATGCCTTTTCTCTCCATTTGGTGATTAATTCCAGAACCTTCCCTGAGCCTTTCTTCACTCTTCCGTTTTCACAAACTTCGTACTGTGGACTTAGGCCCTTGATGAATTATACCTGTCAGAACAACCTGGGTAGTAGCAAACCTTTCAACCCTACCTGCTGCAAATTTCTTCCTTACCTTCAGCTAAAATTTACTTTAGAAAATTTATAGAAAAAGCCTTTATGCCAGTTTTGCCGTAACAGCTGATTGTTTCCTTTGCTAGTGTTTATTTTTCTCATACTAAGTATTAACACATTAAAAATTGTTACTTTAGAGAGCCTACAAATACACTGTATGTGATTCCCTGGAGCATGTCATAGTGTGAGCACAGAGCCAGCACTCAAAAACATTTGTTGAATTAGGGTGGAATGTAAATCAGTAGCACGTGTGAGGCCCTTGAGTTCAATCCCCAGTACTACAAAAAACAAAATAAAAAAGCCCCATTTGTATATTGAATTAAATGAGTATATTTGTAACACCACAAAAGGGTATTTTTTAAAAGAATATTTAAAATCTAAAATACACAAATACTGCACATTCAGTGTAAAAAAAAGATAATAGAAGATGAAAGCAAAAACATTGCTTCTTTCTATGGTATAATTTTTAGGTTCTGATATGAGTTATATAAATGATTAATGTATTTTTATATTTTATTTCCTTATTACTATATAATGTAATAAATAGTATTGGGAGTACAAAAGTCAAACCCACTTGTACATATTAGTCATATTGTACATATTAGGAAGCTACATTATAGTGACATTGGAAATTAACTATAAAAACTAAAATTTCAGAAATTCAGTGTGGGAATCCTAGATAACTTTGCCTCAGGTGTGGGTCAAATACTAGGAAGATGGAGACTACTTGCTTCTCTTTTCTATAAAGTTATTGTGGTACCTCCATGCCCCTTTTTGACATAATTTTGAAGCAAATATTCATAAGAAATTATAGACTCTGTAGTTACAAAGATTTTTTTATTTTTGGTACCAGGATTGAACTCAGGACCTTGTGCTTGCCTGGCAGGCACAGCGCCACTGAGCTACATCCCTGGTCCAGTTACAAAGATTTTAAAAAACAATTGTTGTGGGGACCTTGCATTATGAATACATTATTAAACTTTCTATAAGTTTTATAAAGAAAGACTTGAAGCAGTGCTTAAATAGTCCTCCAGTAGACATCAAGGGAGAAAATGGGAATAAAACTTTGTCTCTAGCACAGTGTAAAATTTTTGAAATGCTTCTATTTGTACTGATCCTTTTCAGTAAAATTTTGTTTCCTATATATTTGTTTGTTCAAAGTAGAAAACTTTCCACAAAATCTTACTTGCTGAGAAACTTACATCTTAATGATTTTGCTTTTGTTGGAAAGGAGTAAAAAAAGAGTCCAGGAATCTAATTTGAAAACTTTTTTGATATGAATATTGGAAAACTATGTATTAAAACTAGATGGTCAACGTTTTTTTCTTTCAGAGAGCCACATTTAAAATTTTCCCTGATGAGTAGGCCATGCAATCTCTGCTTAGTGAGAGAAAGCACCTTTGTTTTTTCCCATATGATAGGACAAATATATTCTGAAAAACAAAACCAAAACCCATATTGATCTTGAATGTACTTGATATACTATAAAATGAACTGTAAACTTAGTTTTGGGCTTTTGTTTTATAATTAACACATTTGTGTGGTTTGTGATCTTTTGTCATCTGGAATATATCTCAAGGGTGGCAGTGACAAAAAGTATCCCATCTCACCCTGGCCAGTGGTCCTCCAAGAAGTGTTAGTTTCAGCTGTTCTTTTGCTCTGGAATTTTAGGACTAGGTAAGGACTCCTAAGGCTGCATTGACATTTTTTAAAAAAGGATATTTAAGTCCATCAATCCTCTGTATTTAGTTACTTAAGGAAATCTGTGAAGAGATTTTCTATACATGTATATATAATGATTGGAATACTAAATGTTTAAAGATTTGGAAATAATGTATAAATTATTTCATTTTTCTTTCTTTCTTTTTTTTTTTTTTTGAGACAGAGTCTCACTTTGTAGTTCAGGCTAGCTTTGAACTCAAGGTTATCATCCTGCCTCAGTCTCCTGAGTGCTGGGATTACAGGCCTGCACCATCACGTCTGGCTAAATTATTTCAGAATAGCAATTTTTATATAGTAAGTCTGATGATTTGCTTCAGAAGTGCTTGATAAAAATTTCACCACAGAATGCCATATAGTTTCTAGTACCAAGAAGACTGTATTAGACCCCTCATTTCTTATTCCATGGACCTTAAGAAGACACTCTTATCACGAATTTTTAAACGTACTGATTAAATATTTCATCTCCTTTCATTCTGTTGTGAACCTTTTTTGATCTACTGGTAAAATGGTTGCTTCTTGGAATTGTTTTATAGTTAAAGCTGGCAATCCTGTCTTAGGTGGGTACAAGTTGGCATTTTCTAGTCTCGGTAACTGAAGATCTGAGTGATCATTTGCAGAATGAGGTGAACATGTCATATACATTCTAATGTTAAAGAGTGGCCTTATCAGAAGGCTGTTTGTCTAATCGACCCATCAAAGGCAAACTACTAGGGGCAACAGTTAGTAAATGAGACTGCTGGACTGTGCCACTCTCCGTTTGAGAAAATGAACCTGCAAACTCAAATCTCTGTCTCTGGATTCAGTGGTTTCTTTTACATAGATCTGCAGTAGTCAAAGTTCAGTTACGTAAACCAGATTTAGATTATTTTAAGTATTCTGTAGTTTGACTTTTAGTGTTTGAAACTGGTAAACAGGTATCGAATACCAAGATATACAGTATCACTGGTTCAAATTAGTTGGAGGGGAAAGGAAGGTAGTTTGTTAGAACAATTTTTATGAATGTATGAAATGAATTATTAGAAGCACCATTTGTATACCTGTACTATATAGAGCATAAAGTATTTTGCTTATGGTAATTTCTGTATAATCAGTAAGATGAATAAACTCACTTTTTCTTATATACTCAATACCTTGAATTCCAAATTAGTGGACACAAAAGTGATAAGGTTTTATGCCAGAATCTAGTGTACCTTTTTTTCCTGTGATTTTGAAATTATATAATTAAAGTGTAATATTTGAAGATTCCTATTTGATAGTTTGAAGAACTTTCTGTGCTCATGTCTACTTCTTCTAAAATGATGTGTAAATAAATTTGTGTACTATTTTTGATTACTAGAAATGGTTAAAATGTGATTTTATGTCCCTGTGGAAAATAATTTAGTCCTAAGAGCTATGTATTACAGTACAAAGGAGCAGTGCTTTTTCTTGAATAATCATTTGAATGGGAATGTTTTATATAGTTTTACATTTTAGTTTATTATAATACATATAACATTAAGTTCTACATTTATCCCACTAGGAATCTGTTAAGAAACATGGATCCAGACATTGTGCTGAGATTTTAAATGCATTTTGAATTATCCAGAATACAAAACTCTGGCAGCAGTTTGCCTGTACATATGAGCTGTGGCTTATCTCTTAATAGTTCCATGCCTAGGTAACTTTACTGAGTTTAGTCCTGGGCATCTTTCAGCCAGGGACAGGGAATCTTTACAATAAGGAAATGACTGTGTGTAGGGCTGTGTGCTGAGAGAGTGTAAAAGGGATCTCTACATGTTTGTGTGGTACCTTTTCTGCTCTTAAAATTCTAACCTTATGGTGGCTGAAAACGTGAGGTCAAGACCTGCAGTTTAAATATTGTCTTTTGGTGTACAGCTTAACCAAATTATAAAAATGAAGCCACATGATAAGAGCCTTTAGTGTGATTTGAAATTACACATCCAGTGTTTGTACTGTATAAATCCCAGGTACCTCCCAAGTAAATACATGTTCCAACATTTGAAGAAACAAATGATAATAGGATGGATGCATTAGCATAGACAGAAAATGATTTTTAAATTGTTCTGGTTTACCACTTGTATATATTACTTTCTTTCTGAATACTGGCAGTTAGTTTTCCATGTCTGATAGAAAAATCTAATCTGTGAAAATATACTTCTCTGGGGTTGACTATCTGGGAAATCAGTGTGAGGGAAGTACTCTTTTAAAAGGCAGGGGGTGGAGCACTTGAATGAGCCCCTGGGTTCAACCTGCAGTACCCCGTCCCCACTCCCTGGCAAAGAGGAGAGTAAAAACATGAATTTAATGTTTTGGAGGTTTTTTTGTTTTGGTACCGGGGATTGAACTCGGGTCCTTGTGCTTGCAAGGCAGGTGGTGGACCCAGAGCTAAATCTCTGACCCTGGAGATTTTTTAATCTTTCACTATGGATTGACCACAAATCTTCATCTGTTTTTGTTTTTTTAAAGTCTCTTTATTCCTTATCTTATTTTTTTTCTGATTTCTTAAATATAACAAAAGGCATTATATGGACTAAAGTGGAGTTTAGCTTTGTACGACAATGTCTTGAGTATAACTGGTCTATATGATAACCATGGAAGAATTCCTTCCCCAAGATATGTGTGTACTGAAGAGTCACATATGAATTTGGGGAACCATTGTTTTTAGTGTTATAAGTTGTATTTTTCTGACACTAACTTGTGGTCACTACTTGCCTAGTTTGGGGTATCCAGCCTCTCAACAGTCTTTTGGGGAAGGGTGAGAGAGTTGGGGTGAGGGGCTTGAGAGAAGTAATTCAAAGTTAATTTTAAAAAGCCTCTTCTTGTTTTTATTTTTGTTGTGTATGTCCAGGATTTAGAAGAATTCTGCTTTAAGTTTTGCATCAATCATTTGACAGAAGTTACACAGACTGCAGCATTTTGGCAAATGGATGGGCCTCTGCTAAAGGAGTTCATTGCTAAAGCCAGTAAATGTGGAGCCTTTAAGAACTGAAGCTGCTGGGGTGTGAGTGCGTGCTCTGGGCACTGTTGGTGATGTGTCCAGCTTGTGGTGTACAGGCAATGTAATTCTGCAGGTAAAACCCATCTGGTGGTTTTTGTCACATCTGAGACACAGTTCTCTGTAGGAATTTATGAAGGATATATGGCTTTTCCTGAGCCCATTTTAAAAACTCGTTTCCAGATACATATACTTTAAATGTAACCTTTCTTACATGAGCTGGAACATTGAGAAAAATCTGAAAGTTTGGCTGCTTTTGTTTTGGGTTAGAGGCACTATGGAATTTAGAAACAGGAAGTTGGTGACAGCTCTCCTGGGTTATGCATCACACCCCTTTGATGCCAGGATTGTTTGTGAATTGTGAGGTGACCATAGAGGTCCTACCATGAGTTACTGATGCTGACCCTTGGGCTTGGTGAAGTGCTCCATCAGCTGCCATCTAGTAACTTCCTGTGAGGGAGAAGTTAGAAGCATTCAAGGCTTTTGTTCATGTGCTTTTGCTATTGATGACTTTTTAACTTTAAGAGATGTATCAAAATAATATTCCCTTTAACATGAGTTAAACCTACTGAAATAAGTAATCATTTCTATGCCAAGATTTCTCAAGATTTAAGTAATCAAGTAATTTAAGTAATTTATAACTGCACAAAAAGTTGATAATGAAGGAAACTGGATACAGGTGAATATTTTATAATTAGAATCTCCATTATTTATCCGATGTTGTTTCTGTTTCATTAAAATTGATATTTAGAACTAATATTTAAATTACTCCTTCACTTTTTCCCTTATAAATGGTAATTCATAAGAGGAAAAACAATGACATATATAGTATACTCTTGCCTTTCTATTATGGATGCTCAATCATCAGGTCTGCTACATTGTGACTTGAAGAAATGGTCCTTGAAAACAACTTCCTTACACAACTTAATGGAATTTGCTTTATCTGCTTTATCTAGGCCAAACTCCATCACAAACTTACTTATTCAAAACTTTACCACCTTCCACTTTTATTTTTTTCTCTTTTTTGTATTAGGTGTACTCTGGTAAAATTTAATGTTGAAAGAGAGCTGGAAAATCATGGTTTTCCCAAAAAGGTCTTATTTAAAAGAGTTGCTCTTTTGGTCTGGTTATGAAATGTGACTGCAATTTAAGAGTGTTCACCTTTTAGTTTTATCATGTGTCCACTGAACTTGTTTTAGGAACAAAGCTTTGTCCTATTCTCCGGTTCATGAACTCATTTCCATTTGTGAGAGCTCCCTTAATATATTTTATTTCCTGCTTAGAAGTGCCCCTTCTGCACTTAGCGCCTGAATGTTCTCAGGGTCACATTAACAACAGGGGAGAAGGTACTCTGTAGCTACTCTTGTAGCAACTGTTTTTTTAGGGGTGGGGAGGGAATGAGGCCCCAAAGATAGGAATTGTTGATAGGCAAAATAACTGCAAACCTGAAGTCCCAGCCTTGTACTCCCTTTTCTTGACTGTATCACAAGTGACTGAAGCCCAGCGAATTATTAGAATTAGCTCTGCAACATGATAGTTATTCTTACTAGGATGGTGAATGCACATTAATTTGATAATAATAGGTAGTGTTTGTCATAGTCACTGTCCTGTAGGTTTATGATCTGAACAAAATGAGAACTTCAGTATGTTTACTCTTGCTTACTTGGAAAAAACTTCAAAAGCACAAATTAAAGTAGCAAGATCCATATCCAGATAGTTCATTCACTCAAAAAATATTGAGTTCCTAATATAGGTGAAGAACCACTTCTCAGATTACTGAGTAATTTGTGTATGGTAGTGAAGAGACTAAGTTCTTCAAAAAGTACTTTTTTAAAAAACATGCACTGTCTTATTTTTCTACTTGGTTTTGTTGCTAATCATAGCAGGAGATTAAAACTGTTCTTTAATTTTTTTTATCTGATGTAATAATGGAAACCAAAGTATTCACATTTCTTAAAATAACCCTGAATGTACTCTTGAGCTTCTTACTGGAACAATGTTTGATACTCTTGTATATACGGTGTATTTATGTAATGTTTAGAATGACATGTTAATAAAGTAAACCATTAAGGCAGGCATATAGAGTTGTCATTCCCCTTGAAGTCAGTAGTGAGGAGCCTCAAAAAAGGAAATTTTGACATGGTACAACATGAATTAACTTTGTGGACATCATGCCACAAGTGAAATAAGTTGGTCAGAAAAAGACAAATGCCGAAAGCATCAAGATCACAGAGACAGAAGGGTGACTGCCAGGAGCTGGGTGGGAGGGATTGGGATGGGGAGTTGTTTAATGGGTACAGTTTCAGTTTTGCAGGATGAAGAGTTGTTTTGAATGGACACTGGCATGTACATAATACTGTTCATTTAAAAATAGTAGAGTAGAGATAAGGGCCAGGGATTTAGCTCAGTGGTTCCACCGCCTGCCTTGCAACCGCAAGGTCCCGAGTTTAATCCCATGTACCAAAAAAAAGAAAACAGTAGAGATGATTTTCTCTTACATGTATTTTAACCACATTAAAAAAAATCGGATTATTAGCTGGTATGGGGTAGAAAGAGATACTACTGTGAACATGTGAACTGCTTGATTCTCAATATACACACAAATAAATACCTCCTAAATCTTTGGATTTAACTCCTGTTAAAAGATAGTGCAGTTGCTGGGTATGTAGCCCACACCTGTAATCCCAGCACTTGGGAGGCTGAGGCAGGAGGACCGCTGCAAATTCAAGACCAGCCTGGGCTACATAGTGAGTTTAAAGCCAGCCTGAACTACATTGTGAGACCCTGTCTCGAAAAAAAAAAAAAAAAAAAACAATTGAATTGTCACCACAGAAAAATATACCTGAATCCTTTGGGAATACTTATATATGAAAGACATCATCCTTATTCTTTTTTTTTAAATTTTATTTTATTGGTACATTTTAGGTATACAATATAATGACATTCATCATTGGAAATTTGCACCTTTACATAATCTCTCTTGGTTCTTATTTTTCCCCCTTCCCCTACCCTCCCTTCAACCCCTCTATCCCTCCCTATTTACAAAGACTTTGTTTCCATTTTCTCATATTAATTCCATCATTGTCCTTATTCTTAAGGAACATATAAATTATCAGGAAAGACAAAAGGTTGGGTTATGAGTTCATGACATGACACAAAATATTTATAAAGCTTTTCAAAATAGAGAAAACTAAGTGGTGTTAATGTGACAAGCAGTTCTTCTGAAGGTGGTTTGTGCAGTACAAGAGGAAATGTATGGTGCAGTTTTACCTCATTTCCAAAAACGGGCTCAGTAGCATAAGCCAAGGTTTAGAGGTAATTTAGAGCCAAGATTTAAAACATACCATAAGCAAGTTTGTTTGGTTACAATGGAGTAAATAAGCAATACTTTTCTTATTGTTAGAAATGTTAGCAAGGTGATTTTATTTTTTTTTACTCTTGCATATTCCCAGTTCTTATTCAAACACTCCAGTATTAAATTTTGATATTTGTTTTGAAGATGATGAATGTCCATGTAAGGAATGTGGCTTAAAAGAAATTTCTAAAGAGCAGACTGACACAAAGACAATATACTTATTTGGTATAAGTAATACATTCACTTATATATCCAAGGGCCCTTATGGGCTGGAACTACACTCAAAAGTTAGGAACTTTTATGCAGTTATTTTGTAGATATTTACTAAGGACACCAGAGGTATAGAAATATGATTGTGAGCAAAACTCAAGCCAATAGTGAATAAAACATGAATAGTTATTTTCTTTCAGAGAGCTTATGATGTGATATGAGATACAGCACTTAAAACACTGAGAAGTGATATGAAGGAAAAGGGACCTCAGATGGAATAAATGATGAGCCCTTCAGGAAGAGATGACAGAAGAAAGAAAGCAGTTAAGACAGGATAACAGGATGTACAAAGGCCCTGGGTGTGGGACCACTTGGTGTGTGACGAATCAGCTTAGATCTGAGGATAGAGGAGGATGCACCAGTAGGAAGGCACCCACAGGATTTTATTTGCAGACAGTGGGAGGATGGGAAGCCTGATCCAGTTTACTCAAGCAGACCTGAGGAACATTTTACTGGAGAGGAAAAAGTAGAAGTGAGATGATGATGGAGGCTAGAAACACCCAGTTGTGCATGAAATGTCAATTAGCAGTACCAGCTAAGTGCTCACAGGGGTGGCAGTTTGAGGCCCAGAGAGGAATGGAGGCCTGGTCCTGAAGCTGTGTGTCTTTCACACAGGATCTCACTGGCTGGAGCCTGCTTGCTGTTTTATTTGATTCCTGGCTTAGGAAATGGTGAACTTTAGGAAGACAGGGAGGACACTGAAGTAGTAGTTGATGTGAGGTCTCCATTTTCTTGAAAAGAGGATAGGGTATGTTTTAAGTCTTGAAGTAGCTCGATTTCTTTTTTTAGCTGCTCCAGTCTTTCTTCAGATTCATGAATTTTATTCTCTATTGCTTTGAAAAGAAAAAAAGTGACTTCAGATTAATTAGTAATTTAGTTAGAGCTGGGGATTTAGCTCGGTGGTTCCACCGCCTGCCTCACAAGTGCAAGGTCCTGAGTTTGATCCCCGGTACAAAAAAAAAAAGGCATAATTTAGTTAGAAATAATGTAGTTTCTAGTCCCTTTTACTTGCAAGTACTGAGCCCACAATGCTTGTGCCTTAAATGCAACGAATCTGGTCTTGTGAGCAGGAACTGCTTGACTTACACCTTTGCTTCCTCCTTCTGATCCAGGATAGAATTCCAACCGTTGTCACACATGAAGCTGTAAGTCTTTACTCATTTGTGAATGCTTATAGCAGAATGAGTCCCTTTCACTTGTCTTTTAGAACCTGAGCACAGTTACTGTATAACATCCATGCTATACTATATAGATTTGTTGAGACAGAATGGCCAGGATAGCAACAATAAGGGCAAATCTTTCATAAAAATGCATCCAGTTTTTAATGTTACATAAAGGCTTTGGTTTTATTTAGAAATAGGAAAGCTTTTATTGTGGAAACTCAGTAAGACAACACTTTATCATTAAACTTTATAGTGACTGGTACACAGTGGCACTGTAATTTTTTAAAACTTCAAAATTGAAAAGTTTACAATATAAATCTTACCTGAATATCTGTAACTGCAGTTAATTTGAAACATCAGTAAGGCTACATTAGGCATGAGGATGAGCTATGGTATTAGAAGCTGAGCCTTTTAAACTGGTTTTCATGGACCCCAAGTATTGCACTGCACTGCACTGCACATATATCCCCAGCGAGGCCATCAAATAGGCTTAACTTTTGTATGGTAGAATGGTGGCACACCCTATAATTCCAGAACTCAGGAAGTTGAGGCAGGAGGATCACTGCAAGTTTGAGGCCAACCTGGGCTACACATTGAGATCAAGGCCAGCCTGAACTACAATAGACCCTGTCTTAGAAAACCAAAAAAAAACCTTTATGGTGCCTTACAAAAAAGGTATGGATACTCTCATTAGCTGATAGCCCTAAGAGACTGTTAAAAGATACATTATTTTTGGTAGATTTTTAAAAATTTTTTTCAGTTGGATATAAATGTAGCCATACAAAATTCAAATAAAAATATGTAACTAAAAACCCAAATAAGAAAAGTTGTATGTTGAGACAGGGATATGAAATATTTTCTTTATAATAAAAATCTATTGTACTAATACCATGGGAAAGAACAGAGTGTAGAGAACCATGTGTGCACTCTCGGGGACCCATTCACACCAAATTCAATGTGAATCTGGCCCCCCAAACTCACTCAACAGGTGCAGTGTACAGCCCTGTATGGCAGCCTTAGCAGAGATCAGGTCAGAATCTTAAATAAATGGAAATTTAGACCGTCTTGCAGTTTTAGGGTTGAAAAGAGGACTCAATTGTTATTTTATAGAAAGGTTAATAGAGCTCCCTCTCCCAACCCAAACATCACTATTTCTTGTTCTACAAAAATGTCTTGGGTATTCTTGTTTTGTTTTTTCCTAATGAACTCTAGAATTAGTCAAAATGCAAACCACCCTCCCCGCCATTGGATTAGATTTGAAGATTAGTGTTGGGAGAATTGAGACTTTGCCCTTTTCATAAGTGAGGGGGAGAGAGTAAGCTGCAGGACAGTTTATCATAGCCTCACCACTGCAGGGAGGGCAGAGAGGCTACAGGAAGCCTCCCTACCTCTGGCCTGTGCGTACTTAAGGGCCAACATAGTCTCCAATTTTGGAATTAATTTTTTGTCTCTTGTTTTTTGAGGGCTTTTTCTGATTATAAAAGTATTATGTATGTCAGATATCTGGAAAATAAAGTACTAGAAGGACAAAAGAAATCACTATAATGCAACCACCTACAAATAACTTTTCACTATATAGTTTTTCTGTGTACATGTCTTTTCTATACATATCTTTACATTTTGTTTCTGCTGTATATGTGTCATAGTTTTGTAATGAGCTTCTTCCACTTAAACAATGAACCATTCTTCTAAAATGTTTTTATCATCTGTATAGCATCATACTATTTCAATCTAAATTATACTTCTAAACATGCTTAGTTATAAATCTTACCTGCATTAAATTTTGCAAATGTGTCTTCAAACAATCCACAGTCAAACAGTGAAGTTTCAATTTTTTCATAGGCTTGAGGGAGAAAAACATTTCAGTATTAATTTTAATTTGTATAGGTAGAAACACCCCAGAAAATAACCCAAAATAGGGAAAAGTAAATAGAGTAGTCATCTACTGTACAAATTTAATGGTAGATTGCAGTGGCAGTGGCTTGGTAAGGAACGTGTTAGAAATGTCAACTCTTGGCATTTCTACTGAATCAGAAGCTCTGGGAGGCAGCTGTGTGTGTGTGTGTATGTGTGTGCATGTGTGCGCACACATGTGCAGGAATTTGTTTTTTGAGACAGAGTCTCACTGTAGCTCAGGTGGGCCTTGAACTCATAATCCTCCTGCCTCAGCTTCCCAAGTGCTGTAATTACAGTTGTGTACCACCATGCCTGGCTTTGTGTTAGCCCTCCAGGTGATTATGAGGCACACTTAAGTTTGAGAAGTGTTAAGTCTAGAGAAAACAAATAATGTAATGAATGAGCTTTTGCAAATGTTTAGTCTTAATTTTTTGGATTTGTCCTATAGAATATAATCCCTTCCAAATAAGAATATATTTTACAAGCTATTGTCAAGCCTTACATTTCACTTATAAAATAACTATATTCATTATAAAGTTTGTAAGCTCCTACTGTAGATTAGAAGGCTAATAAACTGCTGTACACGTCTACAAAAGTGAAACATCAGCTTCCCAAAGAGCTCTTTTAAGAAAGCTGATATTTAAACATTTATTAAAACATTAAAATTACTTTTGAGTTAATGTCATTAAAAAAGGACAACTGGTTTATTACAGAATATAATTTGAGCTACATCAAGACTATAACCTAGTGGTTCTCAGATCTTAGCAACAAATGTGCAGGTGGGTGGGGAGTGATTGTGTGGCCAAACCTAGCCCTGAATGTGCCCATTCAACTGTGGACCTCTCAGAAACACATCATAAAACTCAACATCAGGACATTTGTGACTAAACTACTGAACTGTCTACATCCTGTTAATTTGTAATAGTAAATTTGGTTAAATGATTTTTTTTTTTTGGTTAAATGATTCTTAAAGAATGAAAGGAAGAAAAGAAAAAAGCATGAAAAGAAAATGTGTACTTTTTTTGGGCCAGTCTGTTTTACATGTAAGTCTGTAAGAAGCCTCTATGCTTGAAATCCAGCTGTTTTAGTACCTGATTCTGAAGTAGTGTCATCCAGGAGTTTTTGCTGAATCAAATGAAGTTCATCTAATATATTTTCAAATAAGTCATCAAGAAGTCCTGCTTTCTTACATTTTTTAAGAAAAGAAACCTTCATGATTGTATCTAAGAATAAAGAAAACATTTTTAGAAGGAAAGCCTTAGGGTAGCTAGTCATACCACTTTATGGTTACTCCTTCCGATTTTGCATAGCGGTAGATGACCATAATTAGTAAGATAACACCTTTGCCTTTTCTGTTAATTGTAGTTTCATCGTATCTCAGTTTTTTCTAACTGAAACAGTTGAATGAAAGTTACAAAAAATGAAAATAAAACTTTGCTTACAGTAACTTTATGAATTAATGGAATTTTCTAAAATTTATTTTCAATCCTTAAAATGACAGCCCCTGTCATTTTTTGGTCAGCTATATATTGTTACTGAATGTATTTCCTTAAAGAACAGAAAGCTATACCTGTCACAGTGTGAGGGGTAGCACATCACTGAATTCTGAGCTCAGGCAAGTCTAGCTGCTTCTTGTCAAGAAGTGTATCTTCAAATTGAGAAACAAACGAACATTCCAACCTAAGTTATTTTGATGTGGTGGGATTCTGATATAGTGGATACTTATGATAAATATTTATACTCTTTCTACTACAAGTCTAGAAGAATAAACAGTAACATGTGATACTAATTTTTAAATACATGGGTCAGCATTTTATAACATTTTCATAAGGCCATGTTATACCCATCACTGAGACCAAACCTGTGTGATTGCCAGGCTCATCCTTCATTTGTCTTTCAGAACTATCCAACAGCATTGTCTCATTGGGCTAGGAGAGAAAAATTAAGATTACCTCATAATTAATGGAGGCATTCAATATTACATAAAGTAAAAACCAATCTTTTGTTGTGTATAATTAATTGATATGCCTTAAGGTAAAAAGTATGCCTCCTATTCTTTTGCATGTTTCATATAACAAAATATCAAGAAGTATTTGAGAAACATCCTTTATTGTTCTTGGGGGTTTTTGTTTGTTTTCATTAGAGAATGTCTCTGTATGATGTGCTGGGTTCAAGTGATCCTCCTGCCTGAACCTCCCCATTGCTGGAATTATAGGTGTGCATCACCATGCCTGGCTTGAGAAACATCTCTTGAAACAGAAGAGGTGGAGATTAGTGGCTCATGTTAGCGTATATGAACTGATATAAATGCTGCTACAGATCCCCTCCAATATTTTCATACACTGTATACACATAATCCAGAAAAATCATGGCATTTACATACAGTACTAGGTCAATTGTGAATCATGCAGTTGGGAAGCACTTGGCTATCTGACGATGCTCACCTGTACCCTCAGTCCATTTTAGGGCCTTAAGTACCCTGTAAGGACAAATGCTCTAACTTGGAACAGAGGATACTTCGTAGGAGCTGTGGGAATAATGTAACCTCCCGAACTTCCAATTACTCTCATTACTTATCTCATTTTGGTTCTATCATCTAGGAATTACCTTCCTGAATATGGGGCTCTTTCCAAAAGGGTATCTTTAGGAGCAGTCTCAGCTCGGGGCAAAGAACACAAATGAAGGATATCTATTCCAGTGATTTGGGAAGTACATTTCTCCTGAAACTCAGAATGTTTAAGGACTCTGAGCTGGGTGTGGTGGTGCATGCCTGTAATCCTAGCACTCTGGGAGGCTGAGGAAGGAGAATTTCAAGCTCTAGCCCAGCCTGGACAACTTAGACCCTCTCAAAAAATTAAAGAGCTGGGGATGTAGCTTAGGGTGAATGCCCTGGGTTCAACCCCCAGTATCCCCACCCACACAAAGATTCTGTATGAAGAAACTTAAAGCTACAAGAAAATTAAGTCAAATTACCAGTGCATGAAGGCTTGTTGAGAGACGTTTTTTCCTTCCTCTTTTTCTTTGCACTTTTGAACAGTCAGCTAAAAATATAAATCATTTAAAAGTTGGATATATAAAGGAAAAGATTAGTTTGAGAACATAAAAATATAAAATGCTAATATGCCAAAGGATTTTAAGACAAAAAAATGGCAAACTAAGCATTTGTAACACATTGATAGTAGATTAAAAGATCTTATAAGTTGATTTAAAAAAAATAGATGAGTAGAAAATGGGCAGATAGGGAACTCTAGGGAGACCGCTCATTGAATAGAAAATGAAACTGAGTCACTGAAAAACAAATATAATTGGTGAAAAGATCTGGAATGCACTAAGAAGTTTTCACACATCATACTGATAAAGATAACATTTGCAGACAATTGAGTAATTGTACTGATGTTGCAGTCTCTTTGGAAAATAATTAGCCAGTAGTTACCAGAGTTTCATTAATTATATTCTTTGACCATACAATTTTACTTACGCATTTTTACTTAACAGTATAGTTACATAAAGGCACAGAGATGTATAGAGAACAATGTTAACCACTATGTTAAATGTAATAGAAAATTGGAGAGAATATAGATGTCCGTCAAGCAGAGAATAGTCCAACTGTGCTATAGCTATACCCTGGTGTATTATATGGCCTTTTAATAAATGAGGTTCATTCGACCTCCACTGATGTGGAAGAATCTTTAAGATGCAGCAAGTGGAAATAGCAAAGTATACCAGTATGTTTAAATACAGAAAATTTGTGGAAGAATTCAAAATAAACAATAGAAGCAGTTTCCTCCTGGGAAATGATTCATTTTAGAACAATGTAATAATCTTTTTTTCTTCATTTTTTGGTGGTGCTGAACACTGAACCCAGAGCCTTGTACATGTTTAGCATGTGCTATACTACTAAGCCACACCTCCAGCCCCCAAATAATCTGCTTTTTAAAACTAAATGCGTTATTGTCATGATTCTCTTTGCCAGCAAACACTGATTGAGAACATTTTTTTTTAATGATATCTCCCAATTAGTTAAAAAGGTAGTTTCTTAAATAATGTTTAGAGAGTACTGTATGCCAACATGAAATGCATTTGGGATAACAACAGAACTAAATCTTTTTCCAAAGAGGTCCTGGCTCCAATTCACATTTAGTGATGATAAAACACTGCTGTTCCAGAAGTACACTGAGGCCACTCATACACAGATATACATCCCATGACTCATTAGCCAAGATGTAATCTACCTTAATTAAAATGAAGTGCATACCATACATTCTTAGGGAGTTTTTATCAGCACTTTATAATTTTTATCTCCTGAAAATTTAACTATTACTGTAGAAGGAAAACAATCACAAAAGTCAAAGCTTCTTAGTGTCTTAGTTTGGTCCTATAATGAGGATGGAATATACCAGTGAATGGCCAAGAGAACAGGTCTAGTTCACCAAAAAGAAAAACTTGGCAATTATATCACATAATGCACAAAGAAACTGATAATCTGATAGGTATGTAAAATTTTAAGTCAATTTGTATTTTAACTCTACGAGGCTAATAAATCAGACATTCCATGTCTTATTTAAATGTTTAGTTTTCTTTAAACATGCTATATGAAATTTGAGAGACTTACCACTTTGAGTGATGGCTGATTTTGGAGCATGCTGTTGGCATAACAATCTGAAAATATGCAATTTCAAAGAATCATTAAATATTTTAACATAGTTTTCAAATATGTTTATTTTCTTATGATTTACAAATGTACTAACTTCTGCCTCCACGAATGCTATTTTTAAAGAAAAATGCTGTTTAAACATCAAATTCAGATAAGGCTGTCAGATGTCTTCTATGCCCTTCAAGCTTTAAAGAGATACTATGTTCTGTGAAGGAGTGCTGAGTAAATACTTTGAATAATTCTAGCTCACATACACAGTGGTTCGGGACATTTGACTTTTTATAGAGCTACCTAAAGATCCAACATCTTTTTTTTTTTTCTTCTTTTCTTTTGTGGTACTGAGGATTGAACCCAGAGCCTTCACGTATCCCTATACTTAACTGTCTTGTAATTTCATATTTTGAGACAAGGTCGTGCTAAATCACCACTAAGTTGCCTGGGCTGCACTCAAATTTGCAATCCTCCTGCCTCAGCCTCCCAGAGTGGTGAGATTGTAGGTGTATGCTACCATGCACTGGTTCCTATATTTTCTCCCCCCAGTACAGGGGCTCAAACTCAGGATCTTATGCTTGCCAGGCAGGTGTGCCTACATTTTAAAAAAATATGCAAATTTCCAACTAACTACAGAAAAATCTGACATTCAACAATAAATAGCACAAAATTGCATGCATTAATTTTGGGAAAAAGTACTTTGCAAAGCCAATACGTATCTTCACCAGATTTTACAGTTTCATCTACAAAGAACCTAACCCTTGGGCCGGGGATTTAGCTCAGTGCTTTCGCCACCTGCTTCGCAAGCGCAAGGACCCGAGTTCGATCTCTGGCACCAAAAAAAAAAAACCAACCAAACAAACAAAAAAGTAAGTGAATTTTAACGAACTGCTCAGGCCCCATTTTCTTTCCAGCCTTTCTTCTATCTCAGGTCCAGCTACAAACTCCTTGCCCTAAGGGGCTGACAGCCAGGATGCAGTGCTGGGGGAATGTATGGCTTCCTCCATGCAGCTTTCTCAGCAACACGCCATCAAGATTAAACTCCTCCCCTTTGGGTTCTGGAACTCCAGGCACCTTATTTGCCAAGTACTTAGGTTTCTTCAAGCATACAAAAATGTGTAGAAAATACTGAGATGAACCCCGGCCCCACCCATCCCCCACTGCCAAAAATCCTCAACTTGGGGCCAAGCTCCTTTCATGGAAAGCCCTCCTGCTCCCACCCCTCTATGTGCATGTATTCACACTGGCCTTTCTGGTTCTCCTAGCAGGTGATAACCTAGTTTCAGTCTATCTCGATTTTTGTATGTATGGACAAGTTACTAAGTGGCTCAGGGCCTCAGTTACCTCATCTATAAATGGGGATAGTAGTATCTATCACTCTAGACTATTGTGAAGATTAAATGAGTTTACTATGGCACACATAAGCTCTATATTGTCACTGAAAGCTATAAAAGGTTCACCATCATTGCTTTAGGCTATTCATGCCACTATAACAAGTGATGCTTTTCTACCAGGAAGGACAGTTTCCAGGGAAATCTTTTTTTTTTTTTTTTTTTTAATTTTTTGAGACAGGATCTGTAATTCAGGCTAGCCTTGGACTAAGCCCAAGCTGGCCTCGAACTCCTGGTGATCCTCCTGCCTCAGCCTCCTGAGTGCTGGGATTACAGGCATGGGGCACCACACCCAGCAGCAAGGAAATCTTTAAAAAGGAAACAAAACCTTGTGTTATGTTCTTCCTCTGATATTTAGAGGAAGTGTAAAGTTGGCTTCCTAGCAGGGTAGCTGCCAAACCATGTTCTCATGTGAAAACCATTTAAAACATTCCTTGTCTTAATCTAACCATTTCTTATCCCAGTCCCCCAAATGTAACTTTAAAACTGTTTCATTACTTATAAATTCCTTGAACTCCATCAGCTTGTGGAAACGCCTGGTCCATCTTGGCACAGAAAAAGTGGTAATTCCTGGCACAGGATTTTAAATCACATCCCACGGTGGCTCCTCGTTTCCCACAAAATGTGCATTTCTATAGAAGAACAGATGTTACTGATAAGCACATTTTTTCCAAATCTGTGTTATAATTTAAGAATAACATTAAATATATTTAAGCCAGCAGCTCTGTGTTTTTATCCTGGACATCAATAGCAAAATTGCGTCCTCACTACAAAAGGTGCTTCGTTATGTTTGGCACTCATTTGGAAATTTCAGCAAAAATTCAGCTAACTAGTTTACATTGCACAGACTGTTTTATAATGATCTGATTGAAAGCAGAAAATACTTTTTGAACAATGAGATATCTAAACCAGCTGTAGCAGTCCATACCTCTAATCCCAGCACTCTGGGAAGCTAAGGTAGGAAGATTGTGAGTTACAGCCCAACCTGGACTTAGCAAGACCCTGAATCAAAAGTTAAAAAGGGTGGGGGGGGGGCGGGCGCTGGGGATGTAGCTTAGTGCAAAGGCTCACTCCCTAGTACTTTAAAAAAAAAAAAAATCTAAAAAGAGCTTTCTAAAAAGCAGAGCTGGCAAACTAGACCAGCTTCAGGCAAGGGTTCCTGCAGGAGCATTGAGCTTGAGGCAAAAGCAGCTCCTACCTGTACCACTCAGTGAGCCATCATTCTCCCTTGCATACTCAAATTCCTTCCTGAGGTAACAATGATTGTCCTACAGAGTTGCTGTTGATAATATGAGATAAAATAAGAACTTTTTTTGGTTTGGAATTGATGTAGTAGAACCAAAAAACAACAAACAAATTGAGCAAAAATAGTTTTTCCTTTTTGGTTTTTTTGAGACAGGGTCTCATCTCATTATGTATTCCATCCTGGCTGTCCCTGAACTATCTATGTAGCCTAGGCGGTCTTGAACTTGAGGTGATCCTCCTGTCTCAGTCTTCCAGAGCTGGAATTATAGGCATGCACCACCATGCCTGGCTAATAACAGTTTCTTAGTTTTATATTTATTTGAACCCTTTATTTCTCTGATACCTTACATGTGAAGGTGGTATACAGATAATTAGGCAATCAGTATATGGCCACAGAAACCTGGCTGGTTTAGGGGACTCCAGGCACAATCAAGGCCAATTAGCGTCATTCTCTAGCTGAAGAACAATGAGACCACCTTGCAAAACAACAGATTGCCCACACAATATCCCAAGATCAGTAAGCAAGCATATAGTTAAAATTCCAATGTAGGTGAGAAGATAAAGGTGGAATTCCTTATCAGATCATACAAGAATGGTAATTTAATTTTGGGAAGACAAACTTGCTGGCTATTGGTATAGGGAAAAAATATACTCCCACATAAATTCCACCCAGATTAATGAGTCAAGGAAGGCAGAAAACCCAGAAACCACAAAGAAAAAACCAGATAGACTATATAAAAAATGTTAATTTTCATTTTTATGGTAGAAAATACCATCTGAAATTAAAAGGAAAAGATAGGGCTGGGGATTTAGCTCAGTGGTTCCACTGCCTGCCTTGCAAGTGCAAGAACCCAAGTTTGATCCCTGGTACCAAAAAAAATAAAAATATAAATAAAAAAAAATAAAAGGAAAAGAGAGAAAAATATATGCAGCATATTAGTATTAACATTCAGATAACCCATAGAAAAATAGTGACAGAGTGCAGAAGAACTACTAATGGCTAACATTTGTTTAAAGTTTATATTAGTATATGGTAATTATTTAGTATGTAGTAGCTCTGACGTGGCACTGTTTGAGGATAAGGGAAAACAGCAGTGAAGAAAACAAAGAATGTACAGTAGGGAGAATGTACAATGGTCCAAGAAAAGCAAATTTTAAAACATCTCATGGTGGTCTGGGGATATAGCTAAGTGGTAAAGCATTTGCTTAGCATGCACAAGGCCATAAGGTTTGATGCCCAGCATGGCAAAAAACTCACAACAAAACACAAAAAAGATAAAAACTGGGGCCAGAGGATTAGCTCAGTGGTTCCACCTCCTGCCTTACAGGCACAAGGTCTGGAGGTTCGATCCCTGGTACCAAAAAACAAAAAAAGATAAAAACATCTCACAAATGTGATTTATGCATTGTATAGAATAAAATAAGGCAAAATGATAGTATCATTGGGTCCCTCCTTCAGACTGGATGGTTAGTAAGGTACACCTCTAAGGAGCTGATAGAAAAGCAGAGATCTGAATAATAAGAGCTCCAAATGGGCCTTAGGTTATGGCACACGCCTGTAATCCCAGCACTCAGGAGGCTGAGGTGTAAGGATCATTCTAAGATCCAGGCCAGCCTGGGCTACACACTGAGTAATTCAGGCTGGCCTTGAACAAAAGGAAAAAAAAAAGCTCCAGTTGTTTCCTGATTGCCACCATAAGAGCAGCTTCCTCTACCCTGGGCCTTCCACCATTCCTTCCTGCTTTGGGCAGCCACCTGTAGACTGAAGCCTCTAAACATTCTCAAATTTTAAAAGGGCGATGTGGAGGCCAGCACTGGCCCCAGATCATGCTGCAGAGGCCAGCCACCCCCAGACCATGCCATGTGGGCCTTGTGTTACCTGAATCTGCATTGCAGAGGCACCGGGGTAGCCATAAAAGGCCATGGTTATGAGCTCCAGGAGATAGAGAAGTGAACAACAGAGAGGGCCTCTCTGAGGCTCCTCAATGAAAATTGAAGCCCACTGGAAAAGTGAAAATCTTTGCAATAAAGGCACAGTGGACCACCATGGTTGGTATGTTGGTGGGATCAGTACTTCCCACAGAAAACTGGACTTGCTTTGGGGTAAGGGCAGCTGGAACCTGCAGCAGAACCCTGCAGAGTTCAATCCTGGAGGAGGTAAGGGACCTCAACTTGGGCCTTGTAGCCAGAAATCAGCCTCAATGTCAGTAGACTACAGCTGGCCTGCTGTGACTAATCAACCTAGATCTGCATACTGCTCCCCACATTGTCTACTGAACAGTACAGACATACCCTGAAGGAGGCCCTCTTTTTTTTCTTTTCGTTTTCTCACTCTCTCCCTTCTTATTCTGTATTTCTCTCCCTCTTTGTTCCTGTTCTATTTTGGATTGTTTTTCTCTCTTTCCCTCTCTTGATTGTCATTCTTATAGGAAGGTGAATGCAGTTTCTAACTTCCCTATTGCTGTTAGTTTGTTCTGTTCTTGTCTTTGTTCCTTCACTGTCTTTTCCTTGTCTTCAACAGTTTCTCAAAATTTGTGTGATCTTCCTGTGTCCTCTAGCCTCACTTCTAACCTTTTCCTCTCCTATCTCTCCATCCCTCCCTCCCCAACTCCTTCTAAGTCCTCATCCTAAAGGGTAAATTTGTTATATTGAAGGGTTTATTTACCTCAAACATATTTTGGGCTGATCCTCGAATCTAGCTCATGGTTAAAGGTGAGAGATAAAAGCTACCACAAATTGTCATTTTCTAAGCTGTGTCTATGCTGTTGATGCTGATTGTATCACTTGGGCTAAGATGCCCTGATTGATTTAATCAGTTGTCCTCCCTGGAATACTGAAAACGAGATTGCCTAAGAGTCATTAGAGACTCAAAGCCTAAAGACCAGCTATACCTGGAAGACACCACTGAGAAGCAATCATTCCATAAAGGTTCTAAACACAAGCAATAAAGATACTCACAATAAGCAATACTGAAGTATCGGCCCAGGAATTAAACCAAAAACAGCACCAACAACAAAACTAGAAATGAGAAGACACCTAAACAGGCACAAACCCAGACTTCTAGCTCACCAGAGGCAAATTCTAGGGGCAACGAAGTGGGAAAATCTGATAATCAACCACCTGGACAGTGAAGTGATAGCATGGGAAGTAACAAAACAGATGAACAAGGCTCTAGAAAAATTCAAAACAATTTCCCAGATAACTATAGAGATGGTGAGCAGAATGAAAAACATGATTAGAGACTCTAGAACAGAAACAGATAAAAAAATAAGATGAGCTCAGGACTACATGGAAACCATGAATGCCCAGCATAGGAAAGAAATGGAATCCATGAAACAGATATCCAGGAGATTAAAAACTTCATTGAAAGTATTTGCAGCAGAATGTGCCAATGTGAAGATAGAATATCAGATATAGAAGACAGGATTGCAGTTAGTGACCAGGAAAAGAGAGATTTCTTAAAAATAGGAACCATGAGAAATCCATCCAGCAGTTGCTACATGAGGCAAAGAAGAATAACATAAGACTGATAGGAGTCCACAAAAAAGCGGGAGAAAGTACAAATGACATAAAAAAAATTTCACAGAAGTAATGGCAGAAAACTTCCCAAGCAGAGGAAAAGAATTTGACATACAGATAAGTGAGGCATATAGGACTCCAACTAACCATGATGAAAAAAGTATACACCTAGACGTATAATAGTCAAGATTCCAGAAACCCAAATGAAGAACAAAATCCTACAAGCAGTTAACAGAAAAGAAACAAATCACATACAAAGGCAAGCCCATTGGAATCACAGCAGACTTTTCAACGCAAACCCTCAAATTAAGGAAAGCCTGGAGTAAAGTATTTCAAGCCCTAAAAGAAAATAACCTCCAACCTAGATTGTTGTATTCTGCAAAATTATCTTTCAAAATCAGTGAGGAAATTAGATACTTCCATGACAAAGAACACTTGAGAAACTTCATGAACACCAAACCAGCATGCCAAACAATTCTAAACAATATCATAGAAAAAGACAATGAAGGTCACAACTCCACAAGGCCCAACAGAGCAAAACCATCAGGCAAGGCAAGAAATTAAAGGGAAAGGGTGAAAAATAAAAAAGCCAACAACAGGAAAATATCATGACAAGGATAAGTCAATACATATCAATTATAACCATCAATGTTAATGGCCTCAATTCACCAATCAAAAGAAATAAACTGGCAGAATGGATTAACAGGCAAAATCCAACAATATGCTGTATACAAGAAACACACCTAATTAAAAAAGACATTCACAGATTGAAAGTAAAAGGATGGAAAACAGTTCTCCATGTGACAGGAACCCAGAAAAAAGCAGGGGTAGCTATTTTATTTGCAGACAAGGTAGATTTCAAACCAAA